CACAGGCTATGTTTCTGACTCCTCTTCTAGGTCATGAATTCATGTTATAATACTTGTCGTACTGAGGAGCTATACATAACCCACCATAACTACTTTATATCTTCAAAATGGAATGTTTATTCCCACTCTATTTTCTGTCTCTTAACAAATTTCTAGTCCAAGGCACAACTTTACCTCCTGTACTATGATTATGTAGTGTCCTCAGTTTTTGTGAGGATTTTATCAAAAGTTTTATTGGCAGTAAAAATACAAATTCTGTTCTTTCTCATTCCTAACTCACTGACTATACAGAATAGACTGCAGAGGCCCAATTGGTCATTACAGAAGCCATTTTGGTTTGTTTTTAGGACATTTAAACACTTGGTGGACAAAAGGTTTATAAGCTGAAATAAATAAATACCATTTTACTTGGCTCTAATTTGAACCTGAATTTAAGACGCCTCCCAATAATTAGATTCTATATATGGAAAATGTATACATTCATTAGAATCTAATTATCAGAGGGTTGTCTTGAATTCCCCCCACCCCCTCCAACTGCTACAGCAGGGAAAATAGTGACTTGGGAGGGAGTCGGGTAGATAGGGAGTTCCGGTGGTCACCCTTGCCATCTGCCCCCCCACCCCCACTTCATCCCCCTGAAGATTTCCAGCACCTTCACCCTTCTCCCAACACCGGCATTCTCCCATACCCAGCTCCCCACAGTCTCTTTCCCTTCCCCCCTCTCTCTACTCCCTGCAGTCTTTGCTGTCCCCCCCGCCCTTTATTATAAGAATCCAGCCCAAGCTGAAGCTGAGCATGACAGTAATGTCAAAAAAGGGGCAGGGTAGGGACAGAAGCTGCAAAGGGCAAGTGGAGGTGGAACAGGATGTAGGATAAGAGGTTGCTGTGGGTCTGACTCTGGCCCTTACCCAGCCTTAGGGCCAGGGTCAAAGTTGCTCCTTCACTTTGCACTGGAAAACAAAATGCAAGGGAATGCAAGGGAGTGACTTTGAAATAATTGCACCCATTGCAATTTGCATATATGCACATTACTGTGAGCACCTACGGACTTACATCATTGAGATGTATTTTATCTTTTTGCAAGCTGCTGCAAGTTTCAGCACAGGTACTCTGTAAACACACTTTTGAGCAGCACTTTTGTACCTACTTATACGCAGCTCAAATTATGCATGATATTAACCAAAAGCCAAAAGGCTCATGATTTATCATATAGCTCATTGGGCTGGCCCCTAGCAGAGTCAACAGTGTTTCAAGCCATAATGACCTCACAGCCCAGCACTGCTCAGTATGTAGGTGTACTTCAGATACTGCCCCCTGCTCTGTTAAGGATCCACATGCTAATTGCAACTGGAAATGGTTTTTTTTTTCATGAATCCTAGAACTCCAGAAATTGGTATGTATATGGGACATGGGGCCACCAAGTCCCACCCTACCCATGGAAGGCAAGGCCACACTGGTCACATGTAACAGGCTGAGAGAAGGGGTGATAGAGCCTCTCATCTATGTAGATATTTGGTGCTGTTTGCCAGATGTTATGGCTGGTGAAGAGACAGGAAATATTGGAAATGGGAAAGAAAAGCAATGCTCAGTTGTGAGAGTGAAGAGGAAGTTGAGGCGTATTCAGTACAGTGGTTCACTATGACTTGAAAAAGAGTCAATGCTAAGGGAGATAGTGCCCATTGTGCTCAATCTCTTATTCAAATAGGGTATTAACTTAGCCTTGTGGTAAGTTCCTATTTGTATGTTTATCTAGTACTGGCCAGATGTTTTACAGGCATGATCAGTGTGGGCTCTATTCAGTTAACTTCATAGTTGGTTTCCATGAGTGAACACATGCTGCATCTGGCAGCAGTTTAATAGTAGAAAATGTACTTAATGAGGTTTTGCATATCTAAGATGAGGGGCTTTTTTCTTAATGGTAATTGGGGGGGAGGGGGGAAACCTTGCCTTATATTCAAGTAAATATGGTATTTTCCTCAGCTATGTGGTATGGTTTTGTGTAATGATCAGGACAATCACATTTCCTTTTTCAAATTGTCAGATGGCCATGAATTTAGCAGGCTTCCTCACCAATAGGCAGAGCAAATATTTCGTATTCAATAATGCATCCAATGAATTTAGCCTATCTCCCTGACTGTGCCATATGTAAGTGCAGCCCATGATTTCTTTTAATTTAGTAATTATTCAGAGTATTTGATTACTTTTGATCAATTTTATTTTTTTCAATCTGTAAATGTGTAGTCACTATTACTGGTCAATATTTTAGTATTGTGTTAGTGTTCACTATTTTGATCAGGCTGGTTATTTGCAACTGGGCACATATATTCATGTGGGGCCATTTCTGCTACCTGCTTGGGTGAGCAGGGAAGTGCTTTCTATATGAATATCCATAAAATAAATAAAAACCTTACTTTTTCAAATGCTTATTTCACTTTGAATTCACTTTCTATTACTTTTTTGCCAATAAAGCTCTGATTCACAAACATCCAGAAAATCCTTAAGAAACACAAACAGGGCTTTAAAAAACCTAGTTCAAAATGCTAGTGACCCTTAAAACATCTTTTAAGTAGTCATGGAGTTCCTCTGAGGTAGATTAGAGTAAGTTTTCAACTCTGAGTTGATTCAGTTTTCAACCCATTACTTCTGCTAATAAGAGAATGAGCTGGCATATGAGGGCACAGACACACCATTGATTTCTTCAGGGTAAAAGGGAGTAGGGTTTTGCTGTGCATCAGCTGCTGTATGGTAACTACTCATGTGCACACTCTTATCCAGTGGCAAGTGGAGAAGACTGGGCAATATCTTAGCTTTTGTTGAAAGTGCAAGTTAAAATATTTTAGTTTCTGCTTATCATGGGGTAAAAGTGCACATGTAGTTATGGAGCAACTGATGCACAGAAAAACCCCATCCCATTTTACCCAATAGCAGCTCATTCATAAGTCCATGCCCTCAGAATACTAGACCCTCTCAGGCCTAGCCACTTTCAAATACATCATCAGTCAGCCATCAGACAATAAATGCTTTCCTTTATTGATCATTCCTAATCTATGTCAGTTCTGCATAATTTGATTCTTACCCTCTGCTTCTACTTGGCATTTAACTCTTCCATCCTCAAGAACACATCTTGTTTTGACAATTTGTCCATGAATTTCTGCAGTTAAGAGCTATCTCTTCAATTTCATTATTGTCTTTAAATACTGTTGGGTTCATTGGCACTGCTTAAACTAAATCTGTCTGTGAAAAAGAATATGCTCCGTTATACATACATAGTCATATTCATTTGCAGAACAAATGCCACTCCAATATTCTCAGTTTCTCCTATTTCAGGGTAAAATGTATTAAATCTCTTTAAGGAGTGCTGAAGTGGTGTTGCCAGCACATCAAACTTCACAAAGGTTTATGATGTCAAGGTCTGACAAATACAGTTCCCCTGTTTTGGTGTAGTCATCCCAACTGTTTAAGTGCTTCAGCATTCAAGATGCCAACTGGCACTTCTTTTTTTCCATACAGATATGTTCATGTGCTTGGCCATATTATATCTTCTGTGGGTCCTTTTCAAACTTGAACTCAGGAATTGGTAAGAATTTTTGTATATGAGTTATCTAAAAATGAAAGTGTACAAAAATATGCTTATTGTAGTAATCTCATCACTATCTTGAAGTACTTATCACAGGAAAAAGACTTTTGATAATAGAGGACTCTTCAATCTAGCAGACAGGGTATAACAGTTTAGTGGCTCTAAGTGGAAGAAAACAAAAGAGTATAATTTTAACCAGCAAAGGTAATTGATGATTGAAATTCTGGTGGATTCTTAATCATGGGAAAATTTTCAATCAAGATTGGATTTTTTTAAAGATATGCTCTAGATCAAATCCCTCCAGTCCAGAATCAATTTATGGAAGTACTGTGGTCATGTTATGCAGGAGGCTGAAATAGGTGGTCACCATTATCTATTCTGATTTTATTTCTGTTCCCCAGGGAATTCATTTCAAGCATTCCTTAACTTCTATCATTTGCTTCAATACTAGTATTTAACACTGATGTCTAGCACTGACATCAGATTTATGTACTAGATCTTACCACATAGGTTTTCACATCCTAGCCCCAAATTAGTTTTAACATCATCGGTTCTTCTAATGTCATTTTGTAGTTAAGCTTTTTAAAATTGTGGAGCCCTGTGTAGTTGCCAGGTTGTGGGGACTTATCCTGTGGATTTAATCAAGAGGTTTCCTAGTGTCATTAGCTCAGTTGTGGTTTCCAGTTTGTGGTGCTCAGTTAGAGGAATTACATTTGACTGTTCTGCAGTAGCATGATGACGAATGACCTGCGATATATGAGGCTTGTATCGCGTTAGACAATGGTCTCATTATATGGTCCTTTTTCCATAGCCCTTTCTCTATATACCAGGACTTATCACAAATGCTTTCTTTTACCAAAACAATTGCCAAACACATCTCATGCTGTAGTACAGAATGATAGGATAGTATGAAAATAAATCAACTCTTCCTGCAGAACTAATCCAATATTTCATTTTAATCCTTATATGTTTCTCTGTTACTTGTCATTTATAATCTTACAGTTCTACATATTGGAAAGAAATATGAAGTAGATGATATTGATGGAAAAATTAAGTTAAGTTAAGCTCCCATTTTAATGTTCAGCCTTTAGCAGAACTGTTTAATCTATCAGTTATCTGTTAAATTACTTTACAATTGGAAGCAATTGCATTACCAATCTATAACACAGGAGTTTCTCAGTTGGTAATTATTGACCAAATTTGCATTCTTGTTCTTAGTGGGGGAAAACAAAAAAGAAAAGTATGCTGTTTAAGTATTTGCTTTTGCTAAAAAATGTACTAATTGAAGCTGAATGGGTATGGAAATTACTGCAACAAATAACAAATAGCAAAACCTCTTCAGCACCAGAAAGAATACAGGTTCCATATGTATTATCTAAAGATGGCTCCTTCGGAGATGTAAGATGCCATTTCATATACATTCCTATCCATTATTGTAGTAGCAAACTATTGAGAAGTGATAAAAAAAAAAGAAAGAGAAACACATATTGCTTGTCAGTTTGCTTTGACCCTTCCTAATGCCATTCCCATTTTAAATCGATATTAATATGAAATATGTTTGGCAAACATGGCAGAAGCACTAGAATACAGGCAGTCCTTGACTTACAACATTTCAAGTTACAATGTTTCGCACTTACAATGTTTATAAATTGACACTGTTTCAACTTTCTGACATCAGTTTCAACTTTACAACACTTGATCTGACACCTTGCCATGCCACGCCACGCCACGCCACGCCACTGAACAAGTTTGCTGTGCTGCCCACCTCCCTGGAGAATATCTGTCCAAACTTCCTTGGACACTT